AACTTTTTATATTGAATATCCCAGTTTGAATAATTGAACGTTTCTGGGCAAACTTGAAAATTACACCGCGCATCGCGCGGTGTTCCCCTCCTAGTTTGACCTTTAAAAGTAATTGGATCTGATGGTTCTAAAACTATGGTCATTTTTATGGTATTAGCCTACTTTTTTTTTCTCTTTTTATTTCGCCGATGGAAAAAAAAAGGCAAAAAAGAGGAAAACAAAAGAATACAGAGGTGCATCCCTGAAGTGTAACTTTCACTTCAATTCAGCTGGAAGAATCGCTTTGCGGCAAAACCACAGCATAAAAAATGACCCCAAAATCACAAAAATCCCAAAAATTTCATGCATTCGAATACTTGAGGGAAAACCTGCAGGAGCAGCAGTAGCATAGAGTCTGAATATTTGGTTCTTGTCTTCATTCAGATTTCATCCCAAAAAAATTGCTCCATCTTTTTATCAGAAATCCCATTTTTCTTCACTCTTGTACATCATCAACGGCAACAGTAAGGTATGCCTGTTTAAATTCACTTCTTTTCTTTAGTTCCATTCCCCAAATTGAAAAAATCCCGCCTTTTACTTCTTCCTCCCCTGCTGTAAACGACGATGTTGAGACTGTTTTTCGGATACTAACAAGTTCAAGAACCTCAGTTGAACTCAGACAGTCACTGAGATCAGCAGCAGCTTCAATCCCTTTCTCAAATGACTTAATTGATAATGTTCTGAAAAGGGTCAGATTTTCTCATTCTAATCCATTACAGGCTTTGGAATTCTTTAAGTTTACATCTAGGAAAAAGGGGTTTTTGCATTCTGCATTTTCTTTGGATACAATGCTGTATGTTTTGGGTAGGAGCAGAAAATTTGATAATATTTGGGAGGTTTTGGTGGAAGCGAAGAAAAAGGATCAATCTTCGATCACTTCAAGAACTGTTCAAGTTGTCTTAGCTAGGATTGCTAAGGTTTGTTCAGTTAAGCAGACTGTGATTTCGTTTAAGCGGTTTCGAAGGCTTGTTTTGGAGTTTGATACTAGTTGTTACAATGCACTGTTTAGGACATTGTGTCAAGAGAAGAGGATGAGTGATGCCAGGAATGTGTATCATAACTTGAAGCATGAATTTAGGCCGAATTTGCAGACTTTTAATATATTGTTGGCTGGTTGGAAGTCAACTGATGAGGCCGAGGGCTTTTTTGAGGAGACGAGGGAAATGGGGGTTGAACCTGATAGTGTTTGGTGGATGTGTATTGTAAGACGAGAGAAATGGATAAGGCGTATAGGGTGGTGGAGGAGATGAGGGAGAGGGATATTAGTCCAGATGTGATTACATATACGAGTTTGATTGGTGGTTTGGGGCTTGTGGGGCAACCTGATAAGGCAAGGGATGTTTTGGAAGAGATGAGAGAGTATGGATGCTATCCTGATGTGGCAGCTTACAATGCTGCTATTAGAAATTTCTGTATTGCAAAGAGGATTGGGGATGCCTATGGTTTGATGAATGAGATGGTAAAGAAGGTGTTGAGCCCAAATGCAACTACTTAAAATATTTTGTTGAGGACTTTTATTGGTGGAATGATTTGATAAGTTCATGGAACTTGTACCTGAGAATGAGGGAAACAGGGTGTCTACCAAACACTCAATCTTGTATGTTTTTGATCAGGTTGTTGAGAAGGCACGAGAAGGTTGAAATGGGACTTGAGCTATGGAATGATATGGTGGAGATGGGGTATGGCTCTTATATATTGGTCTCTGACGTTTTGTTTGATTTGCTTTGTGACATGGGGAAGTTGGATGAGGCTGAGAGGTCTTTCTTGCAGATGGTGGAGAAAGGGCAAAAACCAAGTAATGTTTCATTTAGGAGGATTAAGGTGCTTATGGAATTGGCTAATAGGCAGGATGCTCTTCGTAATTTGTCAGAGAAGATGGCTCTTTTTGGCAGATCTATTAAATTTGCTGGGAGTGAAGAGAGTGACTTGGAAACATCAGGCTCCATGACTTGCTGAATACAATTTTCCAACTATTCCATCCATGAAGTATACTGCCAGGATGCTGAGATCAACATTTTGTTCCCATGTCAGCAGAAATTTATATCAATTGCATTTGTATGACATGCCAGTTTCTCGCAATTGCGTGTCCAGAAGTGCATTTGTATGACATGCCAGTTTCTCGTTAATTAGATTAGGCAGAGTGTCAACATGTTCTAGCTATGTTGCAATCAGTTTGAGTGGTGGCTGAGTAGAGCTGCTGATCTTATCCTTTTTTTTCTTTTTCCTTTTATGGGTAGCAATCATCATTCTTGCTGATGTTTTTGGCTCCTCAAACTTTGAAATTGCTTTCATTTAGATGTATATACCACAATTAAAATTTTGGTTATAGTTGTTTCCTTCAGAGCTTAAATCTTTTGATGACAATTTGTCACCATAGAGTTATTAATTGAATCCACTTCTAGGTTTTGTTCCACCCTTGTGGGATTGATAAAAGATTGCACAAGAATCAGAATGACTTGCTCCTTCTGGAAGATTGTTCTGTTGGTTTTAAAGATGTTCGATCAGAAAGTTTTCAACTTTCGTTTTTATGTTCTTTAATGGGTAACTTTGCAACTAGGTTTGTCGTGGAGCTGGAGATGTTCATCGTGTTGCCATATGTGGCTTTTGTTCACCAGACGCAGGGCACTTTGTTGGTGCTTTCCTTTAGCTTCATTCAACTGATGCACAAAGCACGTTAGTCTTCTCATTTTGTGTTGCAAGTACACCAGCAGTTACTTTAGATCATAAAATCAAACTAAACGTGAATGGAGAAATGCTATTTCAAGGTTTGTCTTTTAGAGTCTCATATTTCTGTGCACAACGGTGAGTTACATGATTAAGAAGTTAATTGAATGGCCTGACATGTTGGTTTCTTATCAATCAAATTACTTGTCTATGACTTCTCTCTGACGCTGAGGACAAAATTATTTGAATGCAGCAAAATCCATGGGGAAGCTGAGTTATTGAAAAAACAATGCTGAAACTGCAAGAAGGTTGACCTGGTAGTGGTAAATTTAATTAGGTAAGCCATCCTTTATTTCCAATTAAAAGATCCAACAGTAACATCAAGTTACATGTACTTGTGCAAATCCACATAATCCTTAATTTCCTCTTTTTTGTTGAATTACAAATCCTATGTTCTCAATTCATTGCTATTTTGTTGTTAAATAATTTAGCTTATGTTTTGAAGTTTAATAAAAATTAGTTCTAGTAAAACTAATTTTTAGCTTGTGGTTGGACATTCTTGTGTACCCTTAATGAACTTTGACACAAAGCTGGATCATTTTCAGAATAATTTTGGGATGTGCCAATGTATAGAGTCTGTACCGTCTCATAAAGGTGAATTTCAATATTAGTTCCTACCTTTAGGAGCTTCTGAAAAATGTAATTATTATTTTCACCATTAATTTGGGTTTCCTAAATCATATAATTAATGGAGACTATCTTTTAGAAACCTGAATCTAGTAATCAATTGTTGAGCTTCTACAAAGTGTTACAAAACCACACTAAGATTCACACATGAAAAGAACAAAGGACATAATATGAGAAATTTTGAAGCGGATTTTGATTTCTATGAGTTTAGTAATTGACAGCACTTGAAGAACCGTGAAAGGTTAATAGGTCTAACACAAATACTTAAGACATCTAACGTGGAATGAAAAGTTCTCTTTCCCAAATTTCTCCACCTACAAAAATGAAAGGTAAGCACATTAAACTACAACAATGGTGATTGCTTAGATGAATTGATCAAATCAATAAATGAGAATAATAAAAAGAAAGGTATCATATCCTTAAAGCTGTCTATTCTAATTCATTGAATCAGAAATTCAGTGAAAACCCAAGAAACTATCAGTCTCACTAATTATCAGAAATGGCTTTGGATCCTGTGAGGTCATCCTTTTGGTTATGGCCTTGAGTGATATCTTGGTTCATAGACTGGAGATCTTAAAGCTGTTATTTTTGAATAATGGGGCAACGAGACATGCTCCAAAAATTTGATATCAGCTATACAAATATAAAACCAGACCCGCTGTATGAATAATAGCTTATTAAGCACAAAGATAGTAAGTGCTTGAATATAAATTGGGCAACTGTAAGAAGTACAGTTTATCTTAAGAATGTAAACATTTGATGATATAGATAACAAAGTTGTACAAGGAAACAATATAAAATCACAGAATGTATGTTCTAGTTACCTCATTTATCTGGATATTTAGTTTCTTCTTCCATGCGCTCGTGACATGTTATTGGTTTTTTCAGCTGATTATACAGTTTTTCTCTTTCCAAACAAGAGTACACTATTACTATATGCTTCTTCTTCAATGAATCTTACCAATCTTCTTGGTTTTCCAGTAGCAAACATTAGAAAACCAGAAGCTATGCCAAGAACAAGTCCACAACCATATCCTATGAGCACTGATTTCCTTGTAAATCCACCCATGAAACTCGAATCCTCGCCTTGTTCCAATGCCTCATCTGGGGGCGCTTGTGGCACATGCATTTCTTCACAGCTTTTTGTTATTGGGAATCCACATAATCCTGAGTTTCCGCTGTATGAATCTTCACCAAGTGTGCGCAATTGATTGCCTTGAGGAATTGCCCAATAAGATGATTGCATGATAAGTTTAGGACTTCAAGAGATGTAAGATTCGTTAGCTGCATTGGAATCTCTCCTCCAATTTGGTTTCTTGAAAGGTCTAATGTTTCAAGAAATTTCAGGTTCCCAATAGCTGGTGGAATGTGGCCAGAAAAGTTATTGTTGGATAAGTTCAACAACTTGAGGGAGTAGAGATTTCCAATGACGTCTGGGATCCTCCCATGAAACATGTTGCTTGACAGATCAATGGTTGTGAGAGTTCTAATGATTTTGGTGAACTCAATCTCATGGCCTTTGGATGTCATGCTGACAGAGTATAGATAATTTGTTGTATTACCGGTTGCATGCAAGTATTTAGATTCTGATTTGTTGCTTTGTAAGCTCATCATAGCCCTGAAGCTTTCCAAAGTTCTGTAGATAGAACACCACTGAACTCATTGCAAGAGAGGGCGAAGATTTGCAACTTTTGGAATGGACTCTTAGCCTTGAAAATGCTTATGGGTCCAAAGAATCTGTTAGAACTCAACACAAGAACTTGGAGCTCCGTAAGATTTTGTAACCATGCAGGAAATATATCTTTCAGACGGTTGTTCCCCACATCAAGGACTTGCAGTTGGCCAAAGTTTCTGGCAGCGGCCCTTCCAAGAAATTTCTATTCAGACCAAGATATCTCAATCTGATATCTTTTGCAAATACCATTGAATTAATGGTCCTTTGCAGGCCATTTCCTTCCAAATTCAGGACCACAAAACTAGAAAAGTTCCCAAAACACCGAGGTTTGCACCAGTAAATTTGTTCCTTGACAAATCAAGAATTGCTAGAGCTTTCAAATTGCAAATGAAAAAAGGCCATTGTCCTTGGATTTGGTTGAATCGAACATCTAGAACCCTTAGATTCTTCCAAGGTAATGCATCCATCCCAGAAAGGTGGTCATAAGATAGATTTAGATACAGAAGTGAATCCCAAGGCATGGATGTCACCCAGCTGGGAATCTGACCTTGAATCTTATTGTCAGAGAGCTGTAGAACTTCTAACTTCTTTGAGCTTCTGAGAAATTCTGGGAAAGCCTTCATCTCACAAGAAGATAGCTCTAAACGATAAAGGTTTGGTAAAGAGTTGCTGACATTTCCGCTGGTGCTCCATGATATTCGATTATTAGAGAGAACAAGGTACTCAAGACCATCACTGGATAGTTCAAGCACGCCACTCAAATTATTTGATGAGAGGTCAAGGAAATCTAAAAATGGGAGTGTTGAAATTGATTTAGGAATTTGACCATATAATTGGTTATTACTCAAATCAATTTTCATCAGTGACATTCCATTGAGCTCTTCGATTTGTCCTGTTAGGAGATTGTTTTTGAGAAGCAAAGTTGTGAGTAACTGCAGGCTAAATAACCATGTCGGTGCTGTGCCATGGAGCAAGTTGTTTTAAAGATATAGAAAAGACAATTCCTGAAGGCCACTCACGTTTGATGGAAGAGGACCTGTTATCGAATTGGATTGTAGATCTAGCGTCTGGAGATTGGTAAGGTTCGCAATGGTGGATGGGAAAGGCCCAACCAAATGGTTGTCTCGCAATGACAATTGAGTTAATTTTTGGAGATTTGTGAAACAATCTGGTATTTGGCCTTGCACTTGGTTGCCTGTAAGGTCTAAAACTTCCAGTTGGACAAGGTTTGAGATCACCGATGGAAGAGGCCCACTGAAACTGTTTTGAGTCAGAGACATCGTAGTGAGCTGAGAAAGGTTTCCAATTGACTCAGGAAGGCGACCAGTGAACTGACATCCATCGAGCAACATGGCGTTCAAGGACTTCAAGCAGCCAAATGTGTTGGGAAGTTCCCCAGAAAAATTTGTGTAAGCAAGATCTAAGTACGACAACATGTATGAAGCAGTGCAGTTCAAGTTCGGTAAACTTCCAGTGACTTGAGTTCCATTTAGTATGAGTTGTTGCAATTTTGCTAGATAGAAAATATGGTCTGGTAGCTTACCATAAACTTGAGTTTGACCAAGATCCACAATTGTCAAAGATGAAGAAAAGTTCTTAGGGAACTCGGAGAAGATACTAACGTCAGAAAGAGAAAGTATTCTAACCTGAGTTAAGTTTTGAAGAAGCAGTTGGAAATCCTGATGTTCAAACTCAATAGGATTTTGGGAGAGATCGAGTGAAACTAAATTTGACAGTAAAGATATTTGGGATGGAATTTGAGCGTAGAAATTGGAATTGGAGAGATTGAGGTTTGTTAAACTAGTCAAGCCACCAATGCCATGAGAAATTGGTGAATTCTTGAAGTCATTGTAAGCTAGATTAAGCTTTTGGAGGCGAGAAAGATTGAACAGGCTACTATTAGCATAGATGGATCCTTGAAGTTGGCAGCAACTAAGGTCTATGCCAATTACATGACCTGTAACTCTATGGCATGTTACCCCATCCCAGGTGCAGCAATCAGAAGTTTTGCTCCATGATATCATCTTTGGATATGCATTTTCACAGTAGGCAGAAGCATCTGTTGATTTTTGAAACATTTGCTTAAGCTGAAGTAGAGCAAGACTCTCATCATGGTGACACAAATGAGGTAAAAAGGAAGACAAACTGGTAATTTCTCGAGATTGCAAAGAAAGGAGCACTAGTGTATAAACTATTAGATTCCTCATTTTGCTTGATCAAATTTTGTATGTGCAGATTGTTGGTGTAGCATATATATCCTAAACTCACTTTGCTTTGTGCACAAATGGACCGGTTCTCTTTGGATGGCTTCTATCACTATGTTACTAAATTCCTATCTAACTATCCCTTTCATGAGTAATGGCTAATTAGAATGGGCCTTAGCTCCTCTGAAAAGTCGTAGCATCCATATGAATTATTTGCTATCTTCATTAGGCTTGTAAAGACTTGTAATGCCAAGAAACTACATTTACGTTCTAAATTCATTTCCACCATAAATGCCTTTGGATCAACGAGTCCACTAATTGTCACAGCTATGGGGCCAAAGTGGCCTACCCATCTCATTCCTTTTCGTTCATGAGTATTATCTGTACTTTTGAACCTGTAATGGGGTCATATCTGGAATTCACTTTTGTTTTGTTGTAAAACAAAAAAAAAAATTGGAAAAAGAAATGATTAAAGAGATGTAGAAAGTCAATAAGCATTCTGTTAAGATTACTTAACTATCTTGCTTTTCTTGTGTTAATTGGATCATGAAGCATTTCATGGTTACTTGTTGCTGTTTGAAGTTTGTGGTTGTATGTGCTTTATTATATGGTTATCCTTGACTCATTATCTCGGATATGTGAATTGTCTTTTGTATTTAAAATAGAGATCTCAACCTTATTTTCGAGTTAGTTCATGCTATTAGATTTTGTCTCGTGGATTGATCATTTGATTTGAAGAACTTCACTATAAATTTTGTTAGTAGACCCTAATTTGGTAGTGTGAAAAAAGATCATTCTCTTGAAATCTATAACTCTCCCTTCCCTTTTCTCAAAATTGTCGTACCATTTGGCGTGGAAGCTCCAAAGCCAATTAAGATTAAGCTGGTCGCTGGTGCTCTAATTTTCAGGTCCAGTGAAGAATAAGTTATGTTCAAGTTGCATCCATGAATTTCACTTTTGACAATTTTGGATGAAGACTAGGCTTCACTTATCTATAATTTATTGCAAAAGACTGAGGATGACTTGTTCTTTTCCACAAAGTCAAGAAAAGTGGCTTGGATTAGTCTCTCTCTGTTCACACATACCAGCTGTGGCAGTAAACGATTGAAGTTCGAATGGTGCAAAGCTGTTCCAAATCAAGTCCCACAAAGGTGCAAGTTGAAGAACATCTTCGTTGTTGATTAGTCAATGTAAAGCATTTTAAAGCACACTAGCCTAGTTTGTAGTCTCAAAGATAACTTCTTTGGCAGGTGGGGAATAATGAAGAGAATTATTGTCATAATTTTCATCGAACAACTTTCAATGTGCAAACCAAACTGGGATATACCCTTTTTTCATATTTTCTGAACATGTTCTTGATTTCATTTTTAACCATGAAGCAAAAGATAAAGTTGCAAGGAATCAGAATCTCTTTGCACCTGGAACTTGACAATCATAAAAAGAAGCAACTATTAGAACCTTAAAACGTGCATAGCAGATACATACAACTGGAACTGAAACAAAGCCAGTTTTACTGCTGATCCTTCCTAGTTACGACTCCAATGGGAGGCCTGGACATAAAAAGTCAAATTTTCTGGTGATTAGCCATAGAAAAAAGTTATCATTTCCAAGGATATTTGATTATGAAAATGGAAATTATGCAGAGGAAGTAAAATTATTAGACAACAGCTGCAGAAGAGAGTATGTTTTGCCCACCAATTTTGTAAATTGCATTGCTGTTCTCAAGTTCGTATGTGGACATATTTCCTCGATCTTTTTCACAGATTGTACGACTCTTCAACAATCTATATGAACCATCTTCGTTTTTCAGTTAAGAACACGAGACTTCCCATGGTTAGTCCGAGCACTAATCCGCAACCATATCCCAGAACAACAGCTCTCCAGGTGAATCCATCAAAGAACTCTGGATCATATTGTTGCTCAGATCCGAATGGCGAGGCTGGTGGTGGTGCCCCTGTATTTCCACAATCTTTAGTCAATGGTGATCCACACAAGGCCGAGTTCCCTCTGCATGAATCATTCCCAAATGTATCAAAATGTCTTCCTCGAGGAATGGGTCCAATCAGATGATTTTCTGAAAGGTGTAAGAATTCAAGGAATGTCAGATTCAGAAGCTCCACAGGAATAGTTCCCTCAAGCTGGTTCCAAGAGAGGTCTAGACATTCAAGCTTATTCAAATTCCCTAATGCCCGGGGAGTATGACCACTGAGATTGTTATGAGAGAAATTGAGTATAAGAAGAGAATGAAGGGTTCCGATAATTTCTGGAATTTGTCCTTCAAATCTGTTGCTTGAGAAATCAATGGCTGTTCGATCTATCAGGACTCTTTCAAGACTATACTCCGTCCCTTTGATTACTAAAGTCAAGGAATGGATGTAATAATCAAGCTCATAGCCAGTTTCTGACCTATATTGCCCAGGGTGATCCTTTAAGCTTCTCATAGCTTCTAAGCTTTTGAAGAGTTCTGTAGGTAGAACACCAGTGAGCTCATTGCAGGATGCATCGATGATTCTCAGCTGCGGAAATGGGCTTTCAGTTTGAAAATTACCAATTCCTCCGTGAAATCGATTATGAAAACCTGTAGATTAGGTAGAGATTCCAACCAAATTGGAAATCTATCATCAATCTTGTTGATTGTCATTCAGCATAAGAATATTCAGAGAGTTACCTTGTGAAAAAGTTGTGGGAATGGTGCCAAAAAGTCCATTATTTCCCAAATCCAAAACGGAGAGCTTCTGGCTGAAGTTTCCCAAGCATTGAGGGATTCGGGAAACCAAATTGTTATATGACAAATCAAGAATGAAAAGAGAAGTTGAGTTACAGATAGAAGAAGGCATTTGACCCTGAAGTGAGTTGAAACTCATATCTAGATGCAACAGATGTTTGCACCGTAGTTGGTCTATGGTACCAGTCAAAAAGTTATGCGAAAGATTCAAGTAGGGCAAATTATCCCAAGTCTTGGACATGTGTTGAGATATTCAATCATATAGCTGTATATATTGTTACCATATATGTTTCTATCATGACGTGATTGTAGGAGTAGTTTTAGCTTTCCATTACATGATTTTAGGAATAATTGTATCTTCCATTTTTTGTCAAATTCTTGCAACTATATCAGCAGACTATTGCAATCAGTAATATACGCTTGAAGTTTTTCCCAATCTGAACCCTTTTCTTCATGGCATCAGAGCAGGTTGAGCCTTAACAATTGTTGACAATAAAATATGTCAACTCCAGAGAATTCAACGAAAGGGGGAGAGGTTACAATCTATGATGACTCCCCCTATGTGTTGTACCTTCAGATCATCCAGGGCTGCAATTTGTCTCCACACCATTCGCAGGAGAAAATTTTGCAGCATGGAAAAGCACCATGGAAACAGCCCTATATGCCAAAGGCAAGGGTGGTTTCATTGATGGCAGTCTAGAAGTGCCAGATCTAAAGTCACCAGACTTTCAACGGTGGAAGAAGAATGATGCAATGGTTAGAGCATGGCTGAGGAATTCCTTGGCCAAGGACATACAAGAGAGCGTTGTCTACACCGGCACGGCACAAGAAATTTGGACTGAGATTTGTGAAAGGTATGGACAAAGTAATGCACCTCGACTTTATAAAATAAAAAAATAATTTTCCAACATGTTACAAGGAGATGGGCAGCCTTTAACTCAATATTATACCAAGTTCAAAACCTTATGGCAAGAACTGTAAATCTATGATCCATTGCCTTATTGCAAATGCGAGGCAGCCAAGGATCACTTATTACGCCGAGAAAAAGAAAAAGCCCTTCAATTTCTACTGGGATTGAATGGAAATTTCGATCGGTTGAGATCTAATGTGCTGTCCATGGAACCTACACCTTCACTCAGTAAACTGTTTTCCTTGGCTTTACAAGAAGAGCAATCCTTTGTACAAGTAAATGAACAAACATCACACAGCCTGGAAGGAGCGGCTTTTGCAGCAAAAACTGATCGTAGGGGCAACGAAAATACCAGGAGTCAAGCCCCAAGAAGTCGATCAAGTAAAAGGTGTGAACATTGCAAGAAAATGGGACATCTCAAGGAAGAATGCTTTGAGATAATAGGGTATCCAGCAAATTGGAAGAATAATCAACAAAGCAAAGGTGGCAATTGTGGTGGAGGCAAGAACAATTCAGGGCAGATGCAAATCTATGGCAACATAGCAGCAACTGACCACCAATTTATCAACCCAAGTGAGAAGTCACAGTCACAACAACCTCTTGGATTGACAATGGACCAGTACAACAAACTCATGCAAATCCTTGGACCACCAAATCATGATAATGAGGCCTTGGCCAACTTTGCAGGTAAATGCAATTCATTCCATAACTCATGGATTTTGGATACTGGTGCCTCTAACCATATGGTTGGAGACAAAAGTATACTTGACAATGTTAAATGCATCTCTTCATATCCAAATGTGAGAATCGCAAATGGCTCTAGTCTCCCTGTAACTCACGTTGGTAATGCCTACCTAACACCAAATATCAATTTGAAAAATGTTATTTGTGTGCCTGGTTTCAAGTTCAATCTCCTCTCTATTGCCAAAGCTACAAAGGAATTAAACTGCTCAGCAACCTTTCTTCCTGATTCTTGTTTTTTTTCAGGACCTGTGTACGAGGATGCTGATTGGAGTGGGTAGGCTCCGAGATGGGGTTTATCAATTAGAAGGAGGCCACGGGCTCGCAAGTCTTAGTGTTACTGAATCTGATGCTACCTTGTGGCACATGCGCTTGGGTCATCCTTCCTTTAGCCGATTAAAATTAATTTCTAGTATTCCTTTTCCTAGCAATTTTAATCACATTTGTGATGTATGCCATAGGGCCAAACAAACAAGATTGTCTTTTCCAAACAGCAATAAGAAAAGTGTTAAACCTTTTGCTTTGATTCATGTTGATCTTTGGGGAGCATATTCTGTCTTATCACTTAGTGGTGCTCATTATTTCTTAACTATTTTTGATGATTTTTCACGATGTACTTGGGTCTTTCTTTTGAAAAATAAATTGTAGGCCTATGATTTTCTAACCATGTTCTGCCAATCTACACAAACTCAATTTGGTTACCCAGTACAGGTTGTGAGAAGTGATAATGGGAGTGAATTTGTCTCAGGACCATGAGAGATTTTTTTGCTAGTCAAGGGATTGACTATCAAACCTCTTGTGTTGATACTCCACAACAAAATGGGCGAGTGGAGAGCAAACATCGCCACATTCTTGAGGTTGCGCGAGCATTGCGTTTTCAAGCCCATTTACCTTTGAAATTTTGGGGAGAATGTGTTTTGACAGCAGTTCATCTTATCAATTTGATGCCCACTCCCACTCTCAAAGGCAAGAGCCCATATGAGGTACTTTTCAAAAGTAAACCCAACTACAATCATTTGAAGGTGTTTGGATCACTTTGTTATGCTCATAATCATGACAAACACCGAGATAAATTCTCTACTAGAGCCTATCGGTGTATTTTTCTTGGTTATCCCCATGGACAAAAGGGCTATAAAGTCTATGATTTGGAAAGAGAAAAAGTATTTGTATCACGGGATGTGATATTTTATGAGACAGAATTTCCTTTTCAATGAAATAACGAGTCTAAACCTTCAATGTGGAGTGTGCAACCCCATATAGATCAGCATGATTACTCACAATCTGACCCAATTCCACCTCCTATAAACTCCACTTCGATGGACACCACACCATCTCCTATTGAACATACATTTTCCCAACAAACCCAACATGAAAAAGATAATTCTACACTACAACCAGATACTGGCAGCCCTAGTGGAAATATAATTCCTTCCTTGCAGCGTCCACATCGAGTAAGGCATGTATCCACAAAGCTTTCTGGTTTTGATTATAAGTTGTTACCCTCCTTGGAACCATCTCGGGAGTCCCCTCCATCAGCAAACTCAGGTACAATTTATCCTATCTCTCATAACTTGTCCTATTCTCATTTCACTGATGCCCATAAAGCTTTTTTGGCCTCCATCACTTCATTAGACGAACCAAAGTTTTTTTCCCAAGCAGTTAGGGATCATCGTTGGAGACTTGCTATGCAGCAAGAAATTAAGGCACTGGAGGAGAATCAAACTTAGACATTAGAGCATCTACCACCTGGTAAGCATGCCATTGATTCCAAGTGGGTGTACAAAATCAAGTACAAGTCTGATGGCACAATTGAGCGGTTTAAGGCACGTTTGGTTGCTAAAGGTTTTACACAGGTTGAAGGACTCGATTACCATGATACTTTTGCTCCAGTTGCAAAGCTTACAACTCTACGTTGTCTATTAGTTGTGGCTGCAGTACGACATTGGGAATTACATCAGCTGGACATTAATAATGCCTTCCTGCATGGAGATCTACGTGAAGAGGTATACATGAAAATACCACAAGGCTTTGCAAAACCAGGTGACAATCGGGTTTGTCGACTTCGAAAGTCCCTTTATGGCCTTAAACAAGCCTCTAGAAATTGGTTTCAAACATTTTCTAGTTGCTTGTAGAGTATTGGTTTTAGTCAATCTGCTACAGATAATTCACATTTTACATTCACCAGTGGAGCACACTTTACTGCTTTGTTAGTGTATGTAGATGATGTTATTGTGGCTGGAAATGATTCAACCACCATCAATCATATGAAGCATCATCTTGATTCAGCTTTTCGCATCAAAGATCTTGGGCAACTCAAATATTTTCTTGGTATTGAGGTGGCTCGTAATAAGGAAGGAATTGTACTTAGCCAGCGAAAATACACTCTAGACCTCCTTGAAGAGACTTGTCATCTCGACGCAAGTCCTGCTGACTTTCCTATGGAACAACGACACAACTTGGCAGCGGGAGTTGGTGCAGTAGTTAAAGATGCTGGTCAATATCGTCGTCTCATTGGAAGGCTACTTTATTTGACGATAACTCGACCTGACATTAGCTATCCAGTACAAGTTCTCAATCAATTTATGCAAGATCCACGTGTTCCTCACTTGGATGCAGCTTATCGAGTCCTTCACTACCTCAAAAGGGCACCAGGCCAAGGTATATTCTTGTCATCTGCTAGTTTGCTGCAACTCATTGCTTATTGTGACTCAGATTGGGCCAGCTGCCCAACATCTCGACGATCGACTAGTGGTTATATCGTTTTCCTCGGTAATAGCCCGGTTTCTTGGAAGTCCAAAAAGCAAACTACAGTTTCCCGCTCATCCGCTGAAGCAGAGTATAGGGCAATGGCCAATGCTACTAGTGAACTCCTCTGGCTGCGTTCTTTGTTTGCAGATTTGAAAGTTTCATTAGCATCACCCATGTCTCTCTTTTGTGACAACCAAGCTGCTCTACACATTGCTGCAAATCCAGTTTTTCATGAACGTACAAAGCACATTGAAATTGATTGCCATTTCATTCGTGATCGCATACTAAGTAACGAGTTGCAGACTGCTCACGTTCGCTCATGTGATCAAATTGGCGACTTGTTCACCAAAGCACTTGGGAAAGCTCAGTTCCACCATTTGTTGAGCAAGTTGGGCATTCGCAATCTCCATGTTCCAACTTGAGGGGGAGTGTTGAGATATTCAATCATATAGCTGTATATATTGTTACCATATAAGTTTTTGTCATGACGTGATTGTAGGAGTAGTTTTAGCTTTCCATTACATGATTTTAGGAATAATTGTATCTTCCCTTTTTTGTCAAATTCTTGTAACTATATCAGCAGACTATTGCAATCAGTAATATACGCTTGAAGTTTTTCCCAATCTGAACCCTTTTCTTCAACATGAACCAGCTTGGAATTTCGCCGTGAATCCTGTTATTTGAGAGGTCCAGAAATTTTAAGCTCTTTGAATTTCTATGCGACTCAGGAAATTCCTTTATCTGGCAAGAAGACAATCCCAAGTGCCAGAAATCTGGATAGGAAATGCTCACATTGTTTTTAGTGTTCCGTGGGGCTTCATTCTCAAGAGGGTTCTTTTGAAGCTTATTGAAGTCCACAAATACGTCTTGCCCAACCCCAGCAAAATGGTTTGAAGAAAGGTCAAGATAAGATAGAGTCAGAATAGTAAAAATTGTTGGAGGAAGTGAACCGCTTAGTTGATTACTAGAGAGATCTAAAAAGACCAAGTGA